ATGCAGTTTGTTTGGCGCTGTTGGCCCACCACCGTGCAGAAGAGGAACACAATCGAATTTTGATAATTAATATAAATACATACTGGAACTAGTGCCATTTAGAGATATCCCAAATAAGCAAACCTGTATGTGCAGTGACTTGGTAACAGCCTGTTTGCAGTCCAGCACATTTAAATTAATGAAATTGCTGGTATTTTAGCTGTGGAATGATATTACTAGTGAAATGTGCCAGGTACCAGGCGAGGCTTTTTTCTCCAGCAAATTACATTTTTCCCGTTGATACCGGTTGTTGTCATACTCTACTCTTGCTCTTTTTCTCTAAAAACAGTTCATGTAGTTATTAGAAAAAACGAGTAGTATGTCCTGGCCCATCGAATTTTACTTTTTCGCATATCGTAATGTTCTCTTACTTGTTGTTCATCTGACGGGAATTCTGATTGCCTGTGTGTTTTTGAAAGAGCACCGTTCTTTTTTTTTTTTTAGGGGGAGGGGGGTTTGCTAAAAAAAACAAAAATGAGATTGTAGTGTTGCATTTGTACAGAAACCGTATGCCATGTGGAATGGTCATGTGAAGAGATGTATGTAAAAGGAAGCGTGCCTCTGTTTCATCCCTAAGCTGTAAACACAGACAGCAGGAGACGTGGTTAGCCGACCAGAAGGTTCAAAATCCCATCCATATCTCAAATTTGGTGGGCGAGAAGGTTTTCGGGGATAATTCGAGGAATAGTGCATCACCACTGGCAAGGCTGGCGAAGTTTCGCCCTTCCGGTGACCAACATTTTCGACTCTAGCAATTTCAGCCTTATCATATGGGGGCTGTGGGAGATGATAAAGTTTTGTTATCACTACGATTTTATGTTATTTTTTGCAGATTATACCAATTTACGGTACAGGCAAAGAAGATGATAATGGAAAACGAAGGCCCGCAGCACCGGCTCATGTTCGTGAGGTTGGTTCGTGATTATTTTTTTTTTTTTTTGCATAAAATTTGGTCAAAAACCCTCTTTTTTTTGAGTTTTTAAGGTTGTTTCTATGTCTTTCAGTTTTGGTAAATTTTTGAATTTTTTAAAATTTCGCATTTTGGCAGATGATGATGCGATTTTGAGTAGAAAAATGTTTGAGAATTGCTGATTCGGGTTATTTCTATCAGCTGCCTGTTTTAGTGCTTCTTCATCCGTTCACAAGCAAGTTTTTTCGCCAAAACGGTGGAAATTTCGAAAAATTTTCTCAAATTTTTCTTTTTTTGTATGAATTTTCTAGATTGAAGAAATGTTGGGATTGAATTCGGAACAAGAACATGACTGGACGAAATTTATTAAAATAGGTGCCGCGGTTTGTGGAGCTGCAATCGCTGGACTC